GGAGTCCCAACTACTGCTTCTACAGAGCACTGGTCACCTGTTTATATAGAGTTTAGTAATATTGAACACATAGGGTCCATTTTGACCTTGGGTCATTGTGAGTTATCTAGCATTAGCTGACATTATTATATTAACAACAGCTATCAACCAACATTATAATAGTAACATATCTGACAACTGCAGGACAGATGGGGCATATTGATCAATACTTAGTCAGTCAGCATGTTTAATTTTTATTTTAGTGTATATTAGAGCTATCCACAGAAACTTCTGTCCCGAACACTTTATAATATGAGTGGTGACGTTTTTTCAAACTTCATATACGGGACACAGGAGTGATGAATGTTACTCGTTACTCTCACTCACTGTTTATATGCTTGTTTTGATTGTTTTGATGGTGTGGACAATACACCTTCACAGCCACGTGCAAATTAAGGGGTAGGGTCAAGCGTTAGGGCTACGGGGTGAATTTAGACAGGGCCTTTGTAGCAAAGACAAATGTGACATACTTGGGAATATTATGGAGCCTATCTATGTATAATATGTGTTAGAGACATGCAGGGCACCAATTGTTTTGCACACGCGTGACTTAAGCATCTCTTCAAGGCTGCAAAACCTCCTCAAGCTTGCTCCTCTAAAAGCACAGGTGCTCTTTGCCAAGATGCACTTTGCCAGCCCGCAATATTGATAGCTTATGCTATAGGATTCAAATACAGGGAGGCAGAGCTAAATGGGAAGAGTGCACCATGGCTGTTGCCAGGTATCACGCAAAGGTGGTGGTTCCATTTGACACAGTTGAGAAGAAAACGGGAAATGCTGGCTACATAGGATAGATAATGCCGAAAAAAATTATACAATAAATACCACAATCCTTAAGCTCTACTGCCAGATATTGCCAGTGACTTAAAATACAGGTAAAGTTACATGAATAAACATTTATAAGAGTGTTAAAAAAGTATTTAAGGTAAAAAAATTTTTAAATGTATCATCTGTTTAAACAACAGCTCTGTGTGACTGTGCTTGTGTAACAATATCACAGCGTCATGTTCCGTTTCATCTTTAATATCACAATCTAATTCATATCCATTAAGTTTACTACACCTTCAGAAGTGCAGAGCAAAGTTTTGGTGGGCAGACATAAGGAGAACAGAGATGCGTGTCAGATTCATGGAAAAGAGACAGCAAACATGCAGAGGGCAGAAATACTGCTCACCCAGAAACTTAATGCACATCCCTATGGATTATTCAATAGATAATCTTGATAACTTGATAACACAAAATCTTAGTTCTGAAAAAAGTATTCTCCATCATCCATTCAATAGACAATCTTATCACCAATTGGCACATTGTTGTACTTCCTAGGGCTCTAAACAATAAACATGCCAAGCTGATAAGATGAGTGGTTCTTGGGATAGGCGTTTCACAGACGGACAGACAGACAGACAGAAATTACTGGAATCAGCAGATAATGTTTTGCATGAACCTGCTAATATTTTTGTTGGAATGAACAGAACGGCAGATGGGATCATAATTTCCACCTTACAAAATGTTACACTTTAAGAGTGAATAACGTCCTACGAAATCATTTAGTTGTAACGTACCACAGTTATGTGAGGGAGCCCCTTTGTGATATTTTGGAAAAAAATAAATTGTGGCCATGAGATAATATGGGAATGAGATACAAATCTGTTCTTTACTGACTAACACCAGGAGAACTGATGAGAAATGAAACTCTTAATCACACAATGTAGCCTTTATAAGTGGCTTTAGTCTGACACAAACTCTGTTGAATTACACTGATTTGGACCACATAGAAAAGTTAACTGCTTGTCAATAAAACACAGAGGTGCACCATCCAAAGTGTGGTAGCATGTATTTGGTATTCCGGTGACAAAAATGTGCCAGGTGCATCTGGAAACGGAGTAATATGAGATTAACATGCTTTACATTTCGAGTCTCATTCTCACCTTCACATACACATTCATTCAGCACTTCTATATATAGCACTTTTCTATCATACTTACTATTCTCACAGTGCTGACACAGCCCAAGGACACAACAAGTGTATACAAGTCAAAGTTCTCTATAATCTTTCTAGTAGTGAGATACTTTACCAGGCAAATGTGAAGTATTATCACTGTGTCTGTATGTTAAATTATTTACAATTATAGATTTGTCATATTCATTTTATCAATGGTTTGACACCCAAATGATGCTGAAAAAAACTAATCACTGTATGTCTGAGAAAATTCATATTGACTCTCACTGTGTTGGGTGAAGAATTATACAGTGTTTTTGTGTGTGTGGTCAAAAACAGTTTGTTCAACAGGGAGGGCAGAAAAAAACTGGTGATGTCAGCAGGGAAGAGAAGGAAGGACCGCCTTGCTTTTTCCTTTTTCCTCCTCCCTTCCTACCTCCCCCAACCCTCCCTCCCCTTCCTCGTCTTATCAGTGCGGTAGAGAGAGCGAGAGAGGGGATCAGTCGGAGAGCGGACAAAGTGTTACCAACTGTGACAGTGGAGATGGGGGAAGCTAAAAGGGGGAAACATACCCCACTAGAAAGAAGAGGAGTGAACTAAAAGAGAACACAGACATAGTTATTTCCACTGCTCAACAAAATAAGAGAGACTGATGCTACACAGAGAGTGACAAAGTCAAAGAAAGGGAAGCAAGAAACCAGAAAGTATACCGGCCGAAGAGTCCGTCTGCAGTGAGTATTGAGCGCCTGTTCCTGGAACAGGGTGGGACCATCACTAGGAAGACTCGACTTCAACCACCACAACGACCATGTACAGTGGATATGGAGGTATGAACCTGTGTGGTGTGGCTCAGTGTGACAGTCTCATCTCTAATCATTAACTCAATGTTTGTCTGGATGAACTTGTTGCTGGTTAACAGGTGTGTAACTTATTATGAGATGATGGGAGAGACCGCTCCAAAACAACAAACCAATGGAACCTGTAAAGTTCAGTGAATGTTTTTCCTCTGAACATAGCAACATACAAACAAGACAAAAGTGTTCCTGCTGCTAATGAAGAGATTAGCATGGTCACTCCACCTTAAAGGACCATAGCACTATTCCACAGCCACAACAAGCCAGGGTTGTGTTTCCATACTAATGTCCATGTGAGATCTACTTTATACACATCTGTTAAACTGAGTTTAAAGACTGGTTCATAGTTTTTCAATTCTGTCATGTCCAACATTGATGTGTTGCCACTGAAACAGTCACTGTGATTGGTAGCCCTCACTCTCTGAAACTAAAATGGATTACCTACATTGGAATTACGTTAGGATCAGATTTCTTCACAGCCTGTATGGACAGGAGGAACAATAACAGTAATTTACTACCTTCTCTACTCATCATATGTTTTAAATAATGTAAATCTACTTTTTAACATAACTATCAATGGTCAAGACATACAAAAGTTTTGTCCCACTTAAAATGCTGCATAACATCAAATAAATAATTGACACCGAACTTATCAGAAACAGTAACTTGAACATACATCAGTGTGATAAGAACTAGCTAAAATAGCATCTTTGATGTGGACTTTTTGGTTCCATTAACATGGAGGAGGTGAGATTTATGACCTACAGTACAGCTTGTCACCAGGTGACTTTGGTTTCGGCTTCACCTTTTGGGAACAGTCATGTTGCCCATCTTTATATGTATGGGTGCGACTAGGTTGCTCCATTTTGAAAGGCTCCTTCAAACAGTGCAGAGAAATGTGTCCTTCCATTCCTGAGCAACAAAGGATCCAATGGAAGAATCAGTCTTTGGCCACCCTATCCCAGGATTCAATGCATACCAGTGATGAAGGTAGATAGCTTGCTGACTGGGTGGCAGTGCAGCATCTCAATGTAGATTCTGATTTGGCACACAACTAAAGACAGGACAGTCATCATTATGGAATTAATGCTATGGAAATACTATAACTACAGGGGTGAAAACCTATTGTCCGTGGCAGAGGTATAGATCCTTATTTTGGGGCTAACTCATGGACGTTTTTAAGTAGTTTATTTCTAATCCAATCTGACTGGTGATTCTTGAGGTTTTTATTTCTCTATGACCATTGAAAGTGCAGTTATGACTCTCTTGTTTCATTTAAATATAGTAGGAGCCTGATGGTGTTATCCTTACACTGCCCAAGGCCATTGAAAAGATGGCAACTGAGTGAGACTTTGGTGGACCCTGCTTGCTGCACTGTGACTCTTATAATTTGCTGGCTTTTCCATTATAGTATTCAAGTAAGATGTGTCAACCGTATTCCATATTACCTCGAAGGCACTCTATAAATATTCAGAAACAACAAATATCTATGTAAACACTAATTTGTGTGGTGCAACTTGAATTTATTACTCCCCTCCCCTT